AACACATTTTTGACTTTGCCAAAACATCTGATTAAGAGTAAAAACAAGAAAAACAAACCTCAAGCCATAAATTCATGAAAATATATTAATCTACCCTGCAAAACGGGCAAAAAAATCTCCATATTATAAACACTACAGATTTACTTTAACATTAAACCAGAGAATTATGTTAATGATGTTTTGTTTAAAAAGGATTTAAAAAGATGAACAGCTGCTGCATTGTGCAAAATGTTTCAGTTTCCAAATCCAATGGTTCATTTAGACCATTAGTCTGATAATAATAAACTAAATCATGGTCTCATGTTCAGATGTAATTAGACACAAGAAATAAACATAATAAACTAAAATCACCAAGGCAAACCGCGTTTCGTTCAACAGTAAACTATTTAGAATCTCGTATCACTACTGACTGCGAAAGGCACATGTTCATTCATCTTGTTCTGTGATGTTTGGACAGAAGCAGCTCAGACGAAGCCTAAGTTCACCTCAGCCGTGGCTGAAATGCCGTTTAAGAAACTGCAACCATCTGGATTAAATAATCTGAGCTCTTCTGTCTGTACATGTGACAGGAGCCCCGCTGCGCAGGCAGCCTCTGAAGGGCACGTCATGTCAGTTCCGTTTCACCGGCATGACACAGATGTCCCAGCACCCTCTGCAAACCACAGTCAATTACAACCCTCACATTATACCCCCTACTAGGAATGCAGCATGGTCAGTACCACTGTTCGTTCTTTACTGGGCTGCTTTCACCCCAACGCTCAGATGCAGCGTTGGGGTGAAAGCTGCATCGTTCTCTAACAACGCTGCAGTTGTTGGAGAACAACTGCAGCGTTCTCTAACCTGGGTTTAGGACTCCTGTTAAAAGTCATGCTTTATTTATTTAAGTTAAGGTTCTGCATGTTATCTCTTCAAAGTTATTTTGTTGAATTTTCACATGATTTCTTAGGACTTTCCAGATGCTATTTAGTTGCAGTTTGTAATTTTTAAGAACACGTTTCTTCACATATTTGTTAAAATTGTTACTGGGTCGTGACGGTGTAAACTGAAACAGATCATCAATGAAGCAAATCGGGTTCCTCCGCCATCTCCCTGTGGTCCTATTGCTATTTGCAGAAATACGCCGCTGGGTCGAAAACAACCAATCCGAGCCATTTTCTCATCACAGTTTGAGAGACTGGAGGACTGTGTTTTCTGACCAGGTGCAAAGGAGCACCACAGGGCGCTGTACTTCCACCATTCCTTTTCACTCTACACACTTCAGATTTTCAGCACAAGTCCGACTTCTGTCATCTACAGAAATGCTCAGATCACTCTGCAGTTATCGAGTGAATCAAAAATGGACAAGAATCTGGTGGAGTGCCTTGTCTGATGATATGGGAACAATTGTCTCATCTCATATGATGAAGGAGAAGTTCATAGATTTCATGAGAAACAGGGTCAAAGATCAGGGTCAAAGATCAGGGAGGAGATGTGGAGGTGGTTGAGGAATATAAATATCTCAGTGTTCACCTGGACGACAGACTGGACTGGAGACGCAACAGTGAAGCCGTCTATAAGAAGAGGCAGAGCAGACTGCACTTCTTGAGGAAACTAAGATCTTTCAAGCTTTGCAGCAAGATGCTGCAGTTCTTCAGTAAGCCTGTTGTTGAGAGCATCATCTCTTCTGCTGTCATCTGTTGAGGCAGCAGCATCAGAGTCAGGGACGTAAAAACGCTCAACATCCTGATAACGAAGGCTGGTTCTGTTCTGGGAACGACTAGAATCCCCGTAGATGATGATGATGATGATGATGATGATGATGATGATGCAAAGAAGAATTCTTCATAAAACCAGGAAAAAAAAGAAAGATGGACAACCCTGACATAACAGTGTCATAGAAAAACAAAAGATCTGCTTCAAATTTCTCCACAAAAGATCTTTTCTGGAAACAGCCATCACTATTTACAATAACTCTGAAGAAACATTTAATTTCATTTGGGATCGATAAAGCATTTTGGAAGTGAATTGAATTGAAAAGCAATCACTACTTCTAGTGTCAGCTAGAATGTCTTTGTGCCACAGAACATTGAACTACATCTGTAGTCCTGCACATGCGGCTGCTACGTGGCTTTAAGCGTAAAACAACGCTGTTGGGGCTGTTTGGTACGCGTGCGTCCCAACCTTGCTCTGGATATTTTTGGTGTGAATATGCAGACAGGCACACCTGCTGAAATCTGGGGAGATCAAGGCTAAGCAACGCCAGCCGAGTGGCCCGTTTTTGTGTGCGACCTCCTGACAGCCCCGGCTTGTCAGCCGGTGACAGACATCCTGCGGGGCCGACTGTGACGGCAGCCGACATGATGTGCAGAGTTGTCGGTTTGACAGGCGCAGGACCTGAGACGTTGATCACTTTTGTCAAGCTGAGATGGTAAAACGCTGCAGCGACCCATAAATATTGAACCTGCCCAGAGGCCAGTGACCTGCACCGGCTAATAGCGGCCTTTCCGGGGAACCCAGCTGCGTCTGCGTGTGCGCGTGCGTGAGTGTGTGCGTGAGTGTGTGTGTGGGTGTGTGTTTGTGTGCTTGTGTGTGTGTGTAAGTGCAGAAGAGAGAGAAAGGTCAAGTCTGCTGCATTTGATGAAATGTTGCCTATAGTAGGTGGAATAATGTAAAAGTAAACAGCATCTATTCTCTTCACTTTTTGAAAGTATTCTCATACATACATAAACAATTCGAATCCACTGAGCATTGGAAGCATAGCTGTGGTTTTCAGCTATCTGTGTCCATGGTGTGGTCACTGTCACCACTTTTAATACAAAAGGAAAAGAAAGATTTTAAGCTTTTAACTATGGGCTGATTAGATTTTAGCTTTCAAAAGTAAATCAAATGTAACCTTTGTGTACACACCCACAGCTTTGCTTTAATGAACAGAATGACTATTTGATTAAACTGCTGAGGAAGTGCAAACCACTCGTACTTCTATTTTCTATTTTTTTAGACTACGTCTGTGAGCACAAGCCCTGTCGCTTTGGTCCCATGGACCGCAAAGACCGTCGAAAAAGTGAACTACTTTCAAAATACATCAGCGACATCTCGAGTTCCACTTTAATGGGTTCTGAGCTCTAATCTACATGAAGCGATGGACTCTTTTTGAAACACTGAAATACGTGAAGTCTTTCATCCTGACACAGAACGGGATCATTTCGCCTGACTGAAGAGACTGAGCTGACGTCATAACGCACCATGAGGCACAGCAGCATCCAGCAACGGCTGGATGCTCCTCCTCATGTGACGGCTGTGATTGCATTCAAGCTTTATTCATCATTCAATTGTATGAACAGTTTTCTAAGGAAAGCCAATTAATTACATGAAGTCGGTGACTTTTGGCATCTACTCTTTGGACTTGCATGTAGCAACAGTGGGCAGTCGCTCTCATTATGTCAGTGTGACTGCAGCAAGAAAAACTAGAACTGGAGAAATATGATTTCTCATTTGACTTTAAGATAACCTTTGAAGTTCTTTATGTATTTAAAGACTAATTTACCTTTGAAAAATCAGCCGGTGGGCCATGAACAACATCCACTGTATGGAGAGGGGCCTAAAGCTAAGCTATACTCTACACACACCCCCACACACATACACGCACACACACCCACACACACGCGCGCGCGGCTTTGGAGCTCACACTAATGAATGTTTACATGAAATGCTGGCAGGCAGAGTAGGCGTAAAATGGAGATCCGGGGTGCACTAGTGTCTAGTTCAGAGTTTGCAGCTCGTCTTTTGCTTTTCAAGGTTTCCTCTGTAATTATGGAGGGCTTTTTTTTGTTTTTTTTTCCCCCTGCAGCTGCTCTGAAACAACCATATCTGGGTGCATAAACCAGATGGGAAATGGAAGCAGGAACACACTCTTATTGTTATTGTAATAACAATAATTCAGCTTTTTTTTCCCTCATCAAAACATTTCACATTATAAAGCAGCAAAATGGTACAGAAAAAGGGGAGGGGAAGTACAAACACAGAAAACGGAACATTTTGGGGAAAGCAAGAGATCTTAAAAACTAAGAATACCAACGATGACCAGGCAGAGGAAAGCAGTGCCAAGATAATGACAGGTTGTCACCTCTTACCATGGGGTGTGTGTCCCACGTTTCATCCCCCTTTTCTTCTTGTCGTCTTAATTTAAAGGTCACATGCTCCATGCCTTGAATACTATTAACAATGCACATCAACTGTTTGATACTGACGATTAGGCTGCTAAGCCGTTACTTAGTTATCGTTTTTTTTTTTTTTTCTTGCCATCATCATTAGTTTTAGGATATATCTGTCTGCTATGGTAACTCTTTATTTGACAGGGTGTGCATAAGGCTGACATGACACTGTCATAGACAGGACACCTTTATTAGTGTTTATGACTGTTGTCATGAAGTGTCATTTGGTAAGCAATGACACTTTTAATGCAAAGTTTCATTAAAGTGTCATTATTTACAAAATAATGCAAAGTTGGGAATTTTAATGGTCTTTTAAGTCCATTAAACATCAATAAATGGATGAGTTTCTCTAGATCTTGCTGTGATATTTGTCTTTTAATCCTGGAAATGCTCTTCAGGTGATAGAAGGCCGACTTTGTGAGGCGCTGAACATTCAGGTCAGAGTCCATCACCACACACAGATATCGGACCTGATCACTAGTTTGTCTGGAGCAACTGGAGGTGCGTGCCGGGAGAGATCGTTCCTCCTTTGGAAGAAAAATAAAGATTCCAGAGAGTGAAATCAGGCACCGCAGGATGCAAAATGACGTTTTTTTTTATTTTTGATGTAATCAAATTTTCTGAGAAATGCACGCCTGGTTCCAGAAGCTCCACGGACGCTGCGGCAGGATGAAGCAAAGAAACAAGTAAAACTGAGCTCTTATTTGGATTGACCTGAATTATTTGTTGGGCCAGTTTGTAGAACAACAAAGCATGAAGTCTGTCACTACCTCAGGATAATTAGGAATGAATAGAAACTGAGCCATTCAATCTGGACAAACATCTTTATTTCTGGTAATGCATCTATACACTGTACATTCAGTCACTGTAGTATATAAGCATGGCTATTTTCAAACATAATCTCATAAAGTCCTTTACAATATAGTCTGAGTCGTTAGAGAAGGGAAGGGGAAAGGTGTCAAAACACGGGGAAAAAAAAAAACGGACGTAGATGAATAAGCCAAGCTTCTTTTCATATTATATATGTGGCATTAATACATGACAAAGCTTGCCTCTTACATAAAAATATTTCTAGAACTGTATATAGTATCAGCAGCAGCACAGGGCTAAAAATAATACATGAGGGTGAGGGGAGAGGAAGTCATGTGGGCCGGCTATACGATGCTGACATTTTACTTAAAACCTATATGAAGAAATGAAAAAAACGATAATTCAGTAAAAACTATTTAGTACAAAAAAGGAAAAAAAACAACAACAAAAAAAGGATAAAATGTTTATGAAGGTAATATTCTCTGCAAATGTTCCTGAAACATTTTCATTAAAACACAAACGTAAAAACAATAAAAATAAAAAAAAGGGAAAGAAAAATAAACAGCTGCTGTAAGAAAAGATATGGAAACACCATCTACATTTATAATACAGTATCGTAAATGAAAAACATATTTACACGTGTAAATTTGTATTCAAATCTTCACACTGGCTAGTATTTGGCCTATTAATACGGACTGTTATTGCTGCTTTGCTGCCCATCACTTAGAAAAAAAATGATTCTCCTTTAGAAAACAAGACATCATTAAATTGCTTCTTCTTCTTTTTCTTTTTCCTTTGCTTTGCACGGGAGAGCAAACAGGCCAATGTTAGCGCTTCCCTCCGACATAGAAAACCAGAACACAGAGGATATGAGCTCTGAAGAGTAAAAACTACTAGAAAAATGTACCAATACAGGTCTGCTGGAGGGAGGCAACATCAGGGAACATCTGTAATGCAGGATCAGAAAAGGCCCGTTCCAACACTTGCATCAGCAAACCCAACTGTAAAAGTCCTTATGTACAATTTATAGTAACAATTTACCAAGTTTTTTTTTTCTATTTTTTTTACAGGATCGTTTATAAAATCTCCTCTGAGGGCATGCATATCACTGGTTTAGACATCAGAAAAAAAACAACAAAAAAAAACATTTGAAGCATCTGTTAAGTTTTCTGCACAGCGCAGAGTTCTGTAAACTGCTGATTCAAGGAAACACTGATTAAAGCGCTGCAGAGCACAGAAGGGCCTCTTCGTTTCGGAACCTGCGAATGGGAACTCGACGGCAGCGCCACCGCCAGGTTTCTGACTCTGGAAACCTTTCGCCCATCTCTCAGGCACTTGAGGTTGTCCAGCATTGCACTCATTTTTTGTTTTCCTTTTAATGTTTGTATTTTTTTTATTTTTTTTGTAAATGTAAATTGATCTAAAAATGGCATTTGGCTTTTATTTAACACCAATGCTTTTCCTGCTAAATAAGACAAGTTGCTTTATGTTGCATAACACAATAAAAACCCTTAAATGTACAGTATCAATGCCCAATAAGTGACTATATGAATGGCAAACTTTTTTCGTCTCTCATGCATAAAGAAGATGAGATTCCTACCGAAAACTAATTGTGAACACAACAGACAAGCAGTAAAAGTATCTCCACATACAAAAACAACATCCAAGAGTTTACTGTTTGTTTGTTTGTTTGTTTGTTCGTGCAGCTGTAACAGTCCAGCCCGCAGAGATCTGAGCTGCTCCAAACTTCCTGAAACGTCCTGCCTGCTGAACATTTTCCTGTCTATTTACAATCAGCTGCTGGAAACTGCAGCAGCTCTTCCTCACAAAACGCTCGCTTGATTCTGAGGCCACTGGATGACAACGGCGGCAGTAAAACGCAATGAAACTGGATTTGAACTTTGTTTTTTTTTTAAAGTTTTGACAAAAGTGCGACTTATCACTGTGAAGTACAAAACAAAAAGAACCTTTTATTTTTTTTTTATTTACACACCTTAACAATCAGACATTTTTGTGGTAAGTGATGAGAGCCCACTGAAAGGCTCCCGGATGACGAAGCCGTCTCTCATTCAAACGTTACGAGAACACAAGGCCACTCGCACACTGGAGGGAAAAAGAAAGAAAAAAAAAGATAAAAAATCAAAGTGAAACTATGGCAACCAGCATGGATGTGTGTGAGACTGTCCAACAACAAGTGCTCAGTGAATACAGAGAAGGTGCCTTTAACTGTGCCTCAATGGATCCGCAGCTGAATGACAGGAAACCTCCTGAACAGCCACACCGTGGTGGAGTTTGCATCTTTTATATTTATTGTCCGTCATATTCATTTGTACTGTCTCTGCTTCCACTCCACCAGCACTGACAAAAGCATTTTTTTTTCCTGTACATGCCGCTATTAGTCTTTAGATAGCTTATAATGTCTTGAAAAGCCTCAGCCTGCTTCCAGCCATGAGCCGACGCTGGAAGCCTTTTATTTGGGAGATCCGGCCCGGCCCTCTGGGCTGCGGCCCCTCGCTGCAGCTGTGATGTAATGACGGCCTTCCAGCAGTTTGTTAGAGCGGAGTGAGAGTCTTGTTTCGTTTCCTGGTGGGCGCAGCTGCGCTTGGTGAACTCCGGTTTGCAGGTCTGAGTGTGAACGGTGAGTCAGTCGGTGCTGGATTTAGAAACGCGTGTCCCCTGGCTGCTTCTGATCTCCCTTCACCCTTCATGGGTCTGGATCAGAAAACACCTGCGTGTTTCCTCTGATGGGAACTTTTTTTCTTTCTTCTGGACGATTTTTGTTCAGGTGTCTGTGACGGTGGGTCGGCCCAGAGCTACTGGAGCAGCAGGCTGTGTCGTATGGGATGAGAGCAATGAAGGGGAATGATTGAGTGCCGAGGCTTTTCTCGGGTTTACTTGTTAGGGGACGCTTCTTTGCAGCCAGGTGTGGGCCAGAGCTGCTGTTGGAGCTCCTTTACCACTCTCTCCAGGTGCTCCCTGGCCTCCCGCTCCTGCAGCAGGTCGGCTCTGAGCTGCTCGCGGTCAGCCTCGGCGTGCTGCAGCTTCATCTGGAGGTCCTCGATCTGATGAACACAAAGAGAAGTCATCTTAAGAGACAAAACCTTCAATTCTATTTAAATAAACTTCAAACACAACGATCGGTCAGAAAACTGTGGTAGGTGAAGCCCTAGTCTGGTAAAAACCAGCCCGTCGTCCTACACTTTGCTTCGTCCAGAGGGTCTGGGCTCTCGGCTATTGAGAAATGATGGCTTCCTGCAGGTGTGGACTCTGTTTCAAGTTTGACCCAAATGCTAATGTTTGCCCGTGACTCATGCAACGCGCCAGTTTGACGCTATGAAGCTCAAACTGGCGCATCGTAAACAGCCAACCTCCACTGCATAGACAGAAGTCACACATGTGGCTGATGCTCATTCAATATTTGGAAGCGTGACCAACACAGACTGAACGGCTTTATTCACTTCCTGATTCCTCTCAGCTGCTGTTCTTTTTCAAACCCAAGGTTTCTCAATGTTGTCAAGACAACCGTTCAAGATCATGTTGTGAAACAGCCTCGCTCAATCTAAAGTTCCCACTGGAAAAATATCTCATGAAAGGACAGCTAGAACCAACCAGAGACCAACATCACTGTCGCTCTGAGACATTTTGAGTTTTGACTCGTTCTTTTGTTCAGGTTCTGAGGAATTGGCTCCACCGTCTGCTTGTTAGCTACATTAGCTGTGAAGGCAAGAAACGCAGGAAAGACGGAGAAAGGCCTGTGCTCCCGGGAACAGAGAGTTAAACACGGCTGATTGTGGGTGCAGGGTTCTCCCTCAGGCTGGAGACATTCAGCTGTCCCAGAATAACATGTCTTCCCATTGGCTGAGGTTGCAGGATGACCTAAAACAGAGCGCTGATAGGCCAGCTCAGTGTGACCTCACCACACCATGTGGTCCTCACTGCAGCCACATCCACTCAAACCAAAACAGAGGGTTGCACATGGAGACGTTTGCAGCAGCAGCAGCAGCTGTAAACGTCCTTCCACCCAGTATTTTCCAGAAACGGTGATCAGGTTTTGCTGCCAGACAACTAGTTGGAACTGGACCACAGATCAGAGATGAAGAGCTTGTGTCTCACTCTCATCCAAACCCTCTGCTGCTCTCACGTCCTAATCCTGTTTGTTTTCCTGGCTGCACTGACAGCGTCTCCTCTCTGAGACGGCTGCGTCTCCGCAGGAGGACGTGGACGCAGCTGGAGGACATGGCCTCCCTCTTTGTTTTGTCTAAAGCTGCCTCAGGGAAGCTGACGCCTCTTCCTGTTTCCTCTTCCAGGGGGAGGAGCTGAACTGCACCCAATCATTTCTGACCGGGAGGAAGGGAACACTTTCTGTCTCCCCCTGTCCAGAAAGTGAGACAATATGACGGCTGTTTACACACAGCAGCTTAGCAACCTTCAGGGTCTGACGGTTTTTCAGTATGTCCACATTTGGAAGTCAGAGGGTGAGAGGCTCCAGTTTGTGCCTGACCTGTGCAGAGTATTTGGCGCGTAGACGGCCGGCCTCGCAGCCTTTATCGCAGACCCTCAGCTGCCGCGCCTGCTCCAGCTCCCTCTTCAGACGAATGCGCGACTCGTTCGCCTCCTTCATCTTCTTCTCGCTCTCGGCTCGCAGACGCTCAATTTCCTTCCTCAGGCTGCGCTTGGCCTCGGTCGCTTCTCGGAGCTTCTCCTTCTTCGCCACCCGCAGGAATTCCAACTCCTGTGAAGAAGAGACGGCCACCGTTAGCCTGCAAGTTCTCTGCGTTTATCTCCATGTGCAAAAAAAGTCCTTCTTATTGGCAGATTTCTAAAGTCCTCCTGTGTTTGTCATCAACAAATGACTGAAACCATTTAAAATGTTAAATTAAACTATTGCTACAAACAGTGAAATAGATGCTATTTTTAACAACCGCTAGAGTGTGACGTAGAACAGAAGAACAGAAAACCTTTACTGTCATTGAAATAGTTCAACAAGTTTTGGACTCCAACTCCACAGTACTAGAACACATTAATAATTAAAATTCACCCCAGGTAAAATACATTCACTCAAGACAAAATGACAAGGTATGCATCAGTGGTTATTCACTAAATATATGGCAAAAGGGGGGGGGAAAGCTCTTAGAGAATCTACAAGTCCTGGATTTGCTGGCTTTACAGCACCTGTCAGAGGTAACAGTTGGAACAGAAAGTGGATAATATCCTTCATATCCTTCATGATGTTTCTGGCTCACAAGGGACGCTGTCCTTATGATTCTCTCTGTGGTTTCTTGTCTGCAGCCAAGCATCCAGTATTCCAGAAAAAGAAGTCTATAAAATACCTGGAGTGACTGCAGCTTCCACAGGAAGGCACTGCTAGGTGCTGAAGGGTTCCATGTCCAGATATGAACAAGGATATGAACCCAGACGTAACCTCAGAGTCCAGCAAGGCTGGGTTTCACAGGAAGAAAGGCCCTTAAAGTCACCTGACTTGAACTCTATATGGTGAGATTTAACTAAGGTACTTCCAAAACCAGCTGGGGAGGAAAGGACTGGTTCCTCCGGTGCCTGTCTATAAAATCTCACGTGCAGCAGATCAGGACAGCAGAAGGTGCTCCACTACATACTGAACATTCTCGTCATGAATGGGCTGGATATTTGCGTGAGTACAGTCGCCAATAAAAGTGACTTTAGTTTTGAGAAACCAGTTGTGAGATCAGTTGTATTGACATCCTTTGATTAGTTTGTTGCACATCATTGTTAGCAGGATGTAGCTGGAATGTGGAGTTAATGAGCGCAGAGCCTGACTGTACCTGCTGGAGGCTCCGCTTGGCCTGCAGGGCTGAGCCCAGCTTCTCCTCCTGCTTCACTCTCATCTTTACGATCTCATGCAGGAACTTCTCCTTTGACTCCTTGGAGTCCAGCCCACCGTCCAGCGCCTGCCTGAGGCTTTCCAGCTCTGACTCCAGCCCCAGCTCCGAAGGTGCCACGGTCACAGCGGGGGCTGCAGCAGCGGGGAAGGAGCATTCTGCCGACGTGACGGTGCAGACCGGCCCCTGGGCCCCCGGTGAGCTCAAGTCCTTAGCTGAGCTGCTGGATGAGGTGAAGGACGGTGAGGACAGGGAGGACATGGAGGACGTGACTGTGGAGGAAAGATCAGAAACACGTCAACGACTGCAACACATGTATGAACACAGGGCGCCGGAGCGCTACTCACAGTCATCAAGGCTCTCCACCTCCACCTCCACCTCAGAGTCCTTGTCATCCTGCGGCGGGGGCCGGCAGGCGGCCGCAGGCAGGGGACAGGGGCCCTCTGGAGCCAGAGCTGGCAGCTCCTCCATAGCTCTTCTCTTACGAGGTCTGGAGCTGTGACTGGCACCCTCTTCTGAAGGCTGGGACGTGTTGGTGGCAGATGGGGATGTGGGCCCCGCCTTCCCCAGAGGGAGTGGCGTGAGGGCCACGTTGGGGGCCACAGCATTCTCGAGGCTTTTGTAGTTGTAGAAGCTGCAGGACAACAACAGGTGATGTTAAGGCTCATAGTGTTCTGGGGGTTAGATCACAAGGTGGACCATGGGGTGGTGAGCTGGACTCACCTGTCTCTCAGCAGAGCCAGAGGGTGGGGTTGCGGCTCCTTCTCCCCAGCAGAGATGTGAGGAGACCATGGTCTGAAAGCTGAAGGTCTCTGTCTGGGCTGCAGGCAATTCATCCCCTGAGAAACACAAGATCTGACTTAAGACCAGCAGACTTGATCTGAAATGATCAGGACTTGGAAGTGTTTTTAGGTTCATAGAAAAGTTGGGAGATGGAAACACAACTTTCATCTGAGCTCAGCCACACTGACCTTGTTTGAGGCAGACAGAGACTGCAGCCAGTCATGCTGCTTCTCTTTGTCACCAAGCGGAGACTGTGATGGGACGTCCTCCAGTTTGGACTTTTTCACAGGGATGCCATCAGACACCTAAAAGACAGACAGGAAGTTGACATAAAGACTCCATGTTAGAGGTGTCAGTGCCACTGAGAGTTTCACAATCATGTCAAAAATACTTCATATGATTTTATATATGTTTTATATAAAAAGCTGAAAGAAGGTTCACTTCCAGACGGAGAGAAATGAACATGGGAAGTGCGTGTGCTTTAGTCTGTCAGCTTGACTCCGACATGAATGATTCATTCCTGATTCCGTCCAACCTGAGTTTAATCTGACCGCCGTCCAGAGCACGTGAGACACTGACTGCCTAGAGTTAATAAAGCATAATCCAAACAAACGCCGCGGGGAATGCATATCAGAAATGCTGCCCTGATGTGGACACTACAAAACAGAACACATCTTTACCAAAAGAAATTATTATTATATCAGAGAATCGTCTTATGTTATTGTTCAATTGTTACAAATTGTTAGCAGAGACCTCTATAAGTTCTTCATAGTGACGACACTGCAGATGCTAAATGTGATGACGAAATGTATTTATACCTTGTTACCAGGGTTATTATAGTTATATTGTTATTGATTATAGTTACACTGTACTGTATTTTTCATGGTAGCTTATTTTTATTTTGTTGGAGCTTTTTGTATGTTAAATTCTTTTTTTTAATTTAGTTTCTTGGCATGCATTTGCAAGGTTTCATTAGTTCTTATTAGTTAAGCATTGTTTAGTTTTAGTTAATAGTTAAGTTTTTATTTGTTGTAATAGTAAATTTGTTTTTTTAGGTGCATAATTCAAAAAGGTCAAAGTATTGTACTGTGATCATGTATACATCAGCTGAGTAATGAATACTCAGCAAAAGATCCCATTTTCCAGAAATGTAAGAAATGATTGCTGAACAACCAACTCATACTGCGCTTTCTCCCAGCTTTTGCTGTCGCCGTTTTAAGGACCAGCAGAGAGTTTATAAAGACAAAAACAAAAGATATTATATCTGTAATTTTAGTCTCTTTTAGTTAGTTTTATAAATGTGCAAAGTAGTTCCGGTTCCTTATACTTTTACTCATTTCACTTAACGAAAATGTTTTCTCAATTTCAGTTTCGGTTATTTCATCAGCCTTAGTAAACTATGATAACCTGGCCTGTAAAAAACCAAGGAAGAAAGCTCAGTAAGAATAAATTTCCAACAGAGTTCCTCAAAATAGACACTGCTTTGATTTTACACATTAGTCTGAGTTCATGTGTCCCTTTGGGATGTAAGTCATCACAGGTTGTACTGCTGGCTAGAGGTTGCTCCTGAAGCAAGCCATAAAGTGAAAACGCACCGACCAACGCGTCTTTAGGGGAGCTGGCTGCAACCACCAGGGGGCTAAACTTAGGTGTGTTGACTGAGTGGATCTTTCTATTTGTGGGGAACTTCACACACACATACATGCATCACTCATGGCGTCCAGAGCAGCGAAGGTGTGTTTGCATATGGCCAGCCAAGAGAGAAGGCAAGAGGTGACTGGGGCAGTGTGAGTGTCTGACACACACTCTCACACGCAGTCTGTCACATACCGATACACCCAGAAAGGCAGACAAGCAGGGCTTTGTCACTATGACCTCAGCTTCTCCCAGCTGTGGCTGTCACTAGCTGCCGCACAAACGCACACGCACTCTGAGTTACTGCAGAAACTGAACAGAAAGTGTGTCGCTCGCTAAAAAAAGAAATAGATATCTATGGTACTTTTTCTTAATGGAAGCTGAACCTGACTGGTGCAAAGTCAAATCTACCAACACAGAGTGTTGAAAGCAGACAAAAGCATTGAGAAAGATATTCCCTGAAAACAAGAACAACCAAACAGCAGAAGTCGCACAAGGCAAGGCTGACGATACACTCAAAGGCGAAGGTCAAATTTCAAAAATCAAAAAATCCGAGAGCAACTCAAATCAGGCTAGACCAAACTGTGCACACCTCCATCATGAGGGGGCGCTGTGCTCCAACTTAATCCTGCTCTACCCATTATTCTATTTAAGGTAGAGCTGTCTAGAAACTGGAGCTGTCATGAAGCAGCTGACTGCAGGCTTGCTACCTGAGCAGATTACCCCACTAGCTAATCAGCTTATTAGGAGTTTTCAACAGTTGTCTTACCAAACAACAGAGGCTTTCATGCCAAAATGTTAGAACCGTAAGAAGAGCAGCAGGGATAATTTTTAGCTATCTACTTTGACTAAAAGAAATTCCATCAGGTTTCACATATTGTTGTTGTAAAAATTGGCAATGTTTAACAGCAGAATATTTACGTATGACTTTCATACCATGAAGACCTCAATACCCAATGATTCTGCCTTTATAATCGATTTAAAATGTAAGTGGGCATGTCTGTTGTTGATGAGGGCTCTACAGGAAGTGGAGGAGCTGTCAAGGTATAAAAGTAACACGGTGACTACAATCTGCCTTTCAGTGGGTAAAATGAGGCTCTGCTGGTTTGAAGTTGGTTGGTTTGTGGGTTCTGGGTATGAGCACTTTGATCTATTTTTTCCCCACTCCAACACAAGAATGTGATAAATATGTCATCTACTGTGAATCCAAAGGTTTTCTACAGCAGACACAGTAAAAACTGTTGCATGAGGAATCGGTTTTGCTCTAGAGGATGTGACGCTCTTGTTCTTCCTTCAAGTTTACAGCAACACAATGTCAGGACTGGACAGAGGACAGCGCTCTGGGACAAAGCAGTGTCCTGCTGGGTGACAACAGGTGGTCCTTTGCAGCCGGGTGAGGTCGTTCTCCCCTCCCCCCCCCGATCGTGTTGGCACGGCGGCCTGCTTTGCCACTTGTGGACGTAATCAGAGCTGCTCTGGCGGGGAATTGGTGTGACTAGACGGGCGAGCACTCCCAACATGACAGCTGTCCTCGTTCCACTAGACTCCTGAGGGCTCAGCTCCATGACTTTCATTAACTTTCCATTACATCATGGGAGTCTTGTTCTGGCCAATTAGTACAACTTTAGAAGCCTTATGATACAGAAAAATATACTATAGGTTTACAAAGATGCTGAAGATATTTTGGTTTTGTTTGAGGAAGTCTCCATCATCATCATTGAACTGCAAAAAACCCAAATAAACCATTTAGAGCTGGACAAGTTTGTGACTGACCAGATGGATCCGGTTTGTTCAGCTTTTCTGTCATTTACCTCCATTACTGATCAATTTCCAGGCCAAAATGACTCAAAGTATTCTGAAATACTCTGTATTTTTTCCCCATGTTTCATTGCTGTAGGAGTCCTGGAAGCAGAGTTCAACCCAGAGAGGATGACAGTTTGTGGGTTATCTGGAGATGAGGAGATTTGTCCTAGATTTGACTGTAGCAAAGCAGGGCTAGAGGCAAGTGGCTAGCCTACAGAGTGGCTGATCCTCTCTCTCTAACACGCACACTCAAAATCTGCGCCTCCATGCCACGTGTCAGTCCTTGTCTCGTGGATCACTGGTTGCCAATACTGCGGCTCTCCGGCAGGACAAGATCCGCTAGAAATCTTGGCTGGAGCAGAGCGTTTAGGGGTCAACAAAACCAGCAGCTGAGCCTGTGGGTCTCAGCGGCGAGAGGGCGGGAGGGCGACTCGGAGGAATAGAGACAAATCTACATGATTAAGGAGCGAGACTGAGAGGCATGAGGCTGTGAGTTTTCATCCAGCACAGAGACAGAGGGCTGGTTCCTCAGGGTTCAGGACTCTTCATCTTGATCACCTAAAAAGATTACATCACAAGAGTGGATGTCTTTCTGGGTGTTTGAACATAATCAGACACACATCTCTCACTCAGGGATGTAAACATAAAACATCTTTCTACAATTAGACCTGAACAGTAATGGAAACCCTTTACTGGTCTCCTGATGAAGCCCTGACCGACCAACAGGAAGTTGCTGCGCATGATGCAAATAGAACCATGCTCATGCTCTCCCACAGCTGTCTACGATCCGCCGTGGCTTGCACTGCATAGACAGGATGTCACACCTCTAAGATAAGGCTTAAAGATTAGTCAGGGTGTGTTAGACGTGCTCACACTGTGCCGTCTGCTGCAACACCTCACACTAAGAACAGCACACCTTGTACTATCAGTGCAGCGGCACCGCGTTACAAGCATGCTTCAGTTACAAAGTAGGACCTGCTTCATCTGCAGAGCAGCAGAGCTGAATGGACCAATCGGTGGCTTGCCATGTGAGCAGGTTCAGATGCTTCTCATGCAATTCTTTAGCTCCATGTTCAGGAATGGAGACATTACACCCATTCTCTGAGACTGTTGTTGCTTAAACCCTCAAAGGTTATCAAACGTGGAAGACATTAAAACACAAGACTTCCAGGTAAACATACTAGGAACTAATCTTAAAATTCTTACTGCTAAAATAAATAAATCCTTTCTGGACCATCATGGCAGCTGCTGCCAGGTCAGAGATCAAACTACGCCTGTAAAAGAGTTGAATCTGCCACTGAGTGGTGTCCACCACTGAGGAAGATTTTCCCTTATATCCTTCCTATTAACTCAGGTTACTGACATATGCTGCCTTTATTTCCAAACCAATCATATTAAGTCCTGCGGAGCTCCGCAGCTCATGTGTGTCTATTTTACAGACCTTTACTTTGCACATGGCAGTCAGGAATAACCCCCGCATGAGAAACTCACAAAGCATTAAGTCATGGGGCCACATCAGTCGGACTGTCAGGCATGTCTCAGCTGCTGCAGGGGCCCCATGCACATCTTCAGTGTGTGCGTGTCTGTTGGAGAGGCTGTTTGTGGCAGAGACAGGATGGGTGGGGTATTCTCCTAAAGACTTTCAAAAACCCTTGTTCTTTAACTTCCTCTGTCTGCTGCTCCACTGAGACAAGACACTCGTTTTCAGAGAAATCCTCAGCAGACCTGAACTCTCTGGAAAGTTGCTCTGTTTCTAACCTCTCAGATTTAAACACCGAACTTTCTAATCAATTCACGCACAATCATCAGACCATGTTAAATAATTCAACTTGATGATTTGATTTCGTTTCCTGCTCTGGCTGCTGTT